AATAACAGTCTCACTGCATAGAATTCAAGTTCAATAATGGATGGGAGCCTTGTTAACGTTTTGGTTGTCGTTTGAAAACAAATAATGATTTAATAAGATTTGGAAGGTATACATATCAATTAATAGAGTTTTTTTTGGTCCTTCCTTGCAAAAACAAAAGCATTAACAATAATAATTGACCTTTGAAGGTTGGATGTTTTAGGCAATATAAAAGTCCAAGCATTTCCATTTTTTTTAATCCATTCAAATATCACAATGGGTTCATACCAAATTTCTCAATTTTCTGTACATTTATTTACTCATTCAATCAACTTCTTAATTATTATCGAGTATGCCTACTATAAGAAAATGAAGTTGGTCCTGCTTTGCAATGCTGGACAATTGCATTCATTGGTAGGTGCGGTAACCTTATTTTATTTGTGTTATTCTATATTATTATCGCTTACGGTGCAAATTTGAGAGATTTTGAGCAAAAATCCCCCAACAAACTAGTCAATTAAAATCGGTATAAAAGTCGTGGAGGCCATTCAAATTATGAGTTAGGGGTTGATCCAGTCTGGATGGGCGGATCTTCCTTTAGATCATCAGCAGAGTCAGCATAGATAATTGTCAAAATAACAGGAAATGCAAATAATTATGCTTAACTAAATAATCAAAAGTAGAGCAAAAGATGGAGAGTTACTTGCCTGGGCCAGTTGCCCAAAACACCTGAAACCCGGAGCTTTGCCCATATCAGGACTGCGGTTGTGTTTACACCACCGTACCTTTTTCTTCTACTCAAGATTAACCAAGACTTAGCACTGGTTGAAATGGTTTTCCTAGATTGTTAAGTTAAGGTTTAGGCTTTTCTTAATTCTATGTCTCTTTTTGTCAACAACCCTCAAGAGGTCGGACTTCGGCCCTTTTATAAAGCTTAAAATGGTTCAACAATGGTTTAGGAAGGTTATCCAGTCAGTTGAAATCAGAATTTAAAATTCTGGTTGTCTACGTAATAGACAACACAAGACAGGTCGCCAGGGTCATCCGAGCCCAAATGGCAAATTACATGTCGTCCAAGCTTATTGCCGCTTAGGCATGCAAGTGTGGCATTAGATAACCTAGACGACACGAGTTATGTCATTTGGATCGGTTTGGACCAAACAACATGTATGGTGTCGTCCAACCCTTGTATTACCAGACACATTGTTTTGCCGGTTTAGACAACACGATTGGTGTCATCTGAGTCATTTTGGCCCCAACAACATGATTCGTGTCATATATGCCTTGTATGATCCATACACTATATTCTTGTGATGGGTGGTCAAGACAACACATATCGTGTCGTTTTGGTCGAATCCACCCAAACGACACGAATTGTGTTGCTTGTGTAAAACAACCAAAATTTCAGGATTTCAATTCTCATGATATTGCACAAGTTTTTGGATGATTCTTATCCCATTTTTAATATAAATGTGATATCTATTCTATATTTCGATCAATTTAAAATTTAAATGAGGTTTTAATGGGATAAAGGACCATGACTTGGGGACTATGGACCATGTTGTTTGCAATTTAAGGTGTGTTAGAATAAGTGTTTCAAGGTCAAGAAAAATAAAGGGAAATTGCCCAATTGAAAAATGAGGGTCTACAATTATATAGGCAAGTAATTTTCTTTGTGTTATTTTATATTATTTATTTTAGTTCAACATTGTAGATTTGATATGTATTTTAATAGAATTTATCTTATTTGTGCAAGTAGGTTGTCGCCATAGTTTTCAGGACGGGAGTGGCCACTGAACTGTTGGGGATCTAGTCCAAGCAGATTTAACAGCCAGTCGAACTGGTTGGACCATATTATTACATAGGGTAGTAACCATATTTTCTTTGTGTTATTCTATATTATATATTTTTATTAGATATTGCAGATTTGATATACATTTTAAGATAATTTGTCTTATTTCTTCAACTAGGTTGTCGCCATAGTTATCAATATGTGACTGGCCATCAAACTAGTGAGCGCTATGTTCCAATTAGGTTTGACCGTCAGGTGAACAGAGTGGACTATATTCTATAAAAATATAAAATAAATAAATAATTTAAGTATATGAAGCATAGTTGAGAACATAAATTCTCAACTTTGTTTAGTTGTTCAAACTAGTCAAAACTAGATCGTCCAACCGGCCAAAGCCGATCAAACACTAACTTTGATCAGTTTTCTATCAAGTCAGATTTTTGCTTTGGACCAAACTAACCAAGGAATCGGTTAATGATCCAACCTATCGGATTGGTTAATGCATTCT